TTGGCAATGACTGCAGAGGAAAGAACATGTCATCAAGTCCTTATCTTGGTTAACTTTGAAGACCATACTAGAGAACTTAATAATATAACAGAAGCACTCAAATTTTTTTAAAGTAGAGTCAAAAGGGATAAGAAAAAAAAAAGTGGTGTTGTTTCTTTCTGCCTGTTTTCCCCCTTCCTGCCAAAAATGACAAGCTTATTTGACCAACTGGATGAGAGGCAAAACCAAGCAAAGTCAGGGAATAGAAATGCTAAGCTGTGCCTCAGCTGCTGGGTTGCTTGCAAGGTGTCCTGCTCACCTAGGCACGTGATAGAAGTCAGATTAGATAAGGTTCACTTAACACTGTGATGTCTGCTAGGCTTGTATCTGACTCGTCCCATTAATACATTACCAGACAAAATGCAATATTGTAGAAAGTCAGTGGAAAGTTATTTAAATAGGGAAATAATGGTAGTTGCAATACTAGTAGCAATATAAAAGCAGTTGTTCAGGTGAAGTTACCCTGGCAAAAAATAAATACGTCATTTTGAGGAAAACTTCCAAGAGCCACCCCCTCAGTGGGACTTTCATATATTACTTTGTCTCTTTTCCACTGTCATCTTCTGTGCTTTAACCACTTTTGCTATTGCTCTAAGATAAAACCCTTGCTGACGAAGAAAAAGACTTCTGCAAAACCTCTACCCGACTTTCCTTACAAATACCTCTCATCTTTTCCTTGGTGACCCATAGCAATTCTGGCAAACAAACCAGTTAGGCTAGATAAATTTTTCTGTCTGTTTTCCTTATTAGCCAAGACAGAAAGAAGCTAACAAATAAGCTTCTTATCATCATACTTACAGTGCATTTTAGGTATGGTACCTAGACTTCGTGTTTCCCTGCCTATGTTTCTACAGAATAGGGACACATCAGTAAGGTCAATATGCCCCAAGTCACATTCTAAATAAAAGTGGTTTCTTGATTCATGTAATTACAGAAAAATACATTGATATACCAGCTATTTCCAAAATGGCTACTTGCAGGTAGTCCAGGAACATACCTGAGTTACCAGCGAAAATCCTGTTTATGATGCTTCTGTAGACCCAGAACGAGAGACTAAGTCTGAGGAAGCCTGAAATAATACACACAAATATCACTCTTTTTTATGTTTCAGTTTGACTTTGTCGAGCTCCTTGATGGAAGACGTCTACTGACACAGGAGGCGAAAAGCTTAGAAGGACCTCAGCGGCAACACAGAGCTTTTGTGCCCTTGTCCAGCCATGAGACAGGATTTATCCAGTATTTAGATTCAGGAATATGGCATTTAGCCTTCTACAATGATGGCAAGGAGTCGGAAGTGGTTTCTTTTCTTACTACTGCTATTGGTAAGGATTTCCTGTATTATTCCTAAACTACTAAATATGCCTTGAGGCCAGGTATTAACACACATACTCAAATTGCATGGTGGCTTTGTGTGGTTTCAGAGAGAATGCTTGTAGGGGATTGTATTTAGCAACCAGCTGAATACTGTTAGGCCCTAAATATCTCATAAGTATTTTGTAGGCCTTTGTAATAACTATATCCATAATGAGTTTCTACCCAGTGCCGAAGATGGATTACAAGCTTGAAATTCCCTGCTTCGTTTTCTTCCTTTGAGCTTCTTTATACCTAGGCTTTTTGTTCAGCTGATTGGTTTTTTTTTCTCTTTCTAGAGCAGAGGTGTAGGAATGATTGAAGAGCACACAGGAGCACCATGCAACAATTTTGTGTGACAGACAGTCCTGCCTTTGAGCACCATCAAAATTACTCAAGCTGGAGTTCAGGCAGGGTATTAGGGTTAAAACTCCGATTAAGAGCACTGCAAGGCTTGGTAGTAGGAACCACAAGAAGTAGTAGTAAGTTTCTCCTTACTAACTGGAAGAAGCTGAGATTTCTGAAGAATAATTAACTAAGCAGGTTTTTCCGTTTCTCTGGCAGGAAAATGCCCTGCCAGTTCAGTGCACAGACACTGATTGGTGGCTGTCCAGTGAGGAAAGGATGCTGCCTGTGGGCTGCCTGACAGCCTAGTACACTGGGTATTCTTCCTCCACCCTGTAAATATCAGAATCTGTTTCTGATTCAATAATACTTAATTTTAAATTTGACTGACCTGCTGAAACTGTTCACATATCCAAATTCATTTGGTTGTAATTTAAAGATTGCTTCATAAAACTAGCACTCAGCTTTCTTCTAGCCACAGTGATTGTTTAATGGATTTTTTTCTTTGCTGAAAAAAGCAGTTTCATTCCAAAGCTGCCATTAATCCCTCTCCCAGAAGAGGCATTGGTGTTGAGTCTCAGCTGTCTGCAAGTTACCTAAGAGCTACGGGCTGTAATTTGTCTTGGCAGGTTAATTAAAAGTTTAGGTCTTATTAAAGCAAAGTCATTAAGATCCCAATATTCCATTTTAGCACTAAAGTTTATCTAATGCAGAAGTGGAAATACTGCTATAATACTCTGTGTTAAATTTAAAACCTGGAAATGCACATGTTCAATCCTGTTCATGGTTAAGCAACACCAGAAATAATTGCATGTTAGTTTATGAAATTGAAGTCTTGCTCCACAGAATGTGGATTTACTTTCATTTAGTTTACTTTAGCAATGTGAGTTTTTACTTACATCAATCACCTTCTGCCCGGAAGAACCTACAGGTATTCTTCTGAAAGTGACTTTTTTTCCATTGTCTAAGAATTTCTTCACCTCAAAATTTTGCATCACAAGAGAATCAATCGGTAAGGCTCTTACAGCAGAAAACACTTTTAAAGCACAGTCGCTAGTTGTTGTTTTCAAAGTGATGCTAAGTGTTCTAGCCAGACTTTTCTCTTGGCCTCATTGCAATAACATGGGAGGGGGGGAGACAAAATAATCTTAATTTGCGTTTGAACTGTGGGGGAATGTTGTGGCTGAGAACCATGTCAGACTGTCTATAAGGCAATCCTGTTTTTTTTGTTTATATCTGCTGTACTTTCATGACCACATGATAAGCAGAACAGTCCATGATATATTCTGTATATCCCCTGTTGACCTTGAATCATTCTGTGTTTCAGTACAAGGAAGTTTTCTTCTACTACACGAGAGAGAGCTTTGCCCCGTGTGTGAGAATCACTTTGCCCGCTGGCAGCTGTATGTCAACACAAAGCTATAGTGTACAGGAAAAACTGTCTAGGTACAAGCTATGCCCTGTGAAACTCACTTGAGATAAGCAAAAATTTTAGGTAGGAAGATGTGGCTTCCTGACTAGACTTTGGCCAGAGAAGTGCAGCATTTTCATAAGCGCCATAAAAAGATGTAATAGCCTTAACAAGTTTGTACCTTTCTTCTTAGTCTAGATTTCAACATCTTCTTTAAAAAAAAAAAAAGGCAGGTGTTTTGCGTAAATGTACTGTAATGCTTCTGAACCTTTCTAGTGTATCCATGAGGTCTGGCAAGACATGGTTGCTAGATTTTAAGTCTATAAATACTATAGTACTGTAGTGTTATAATTTTTGTCAGTGCCAGAGTAAAGAGGATACAGCAACCTGACACAGTGTTTATGAATCAGGGTGTAAAATTGCAATGCCGAACAAATAAATCAAGTCACACGTGATAGGAGCCTTAGATCTTTCTGTGTGGGGTGAGGAACCTGCGGAGGAGTTGTGTTGACGGTCAGAGGCAAGCTGCCATTTAATTTGATTTCTGTGGTGGGAGCACGTAAAAAAATCTCCCTGTATTATTGCACTGACATAGGGCTTAGAGTGAGAGTGTGTTTGATAAGTATAGCTGCGATGCAGGAAGAAGGAGGATCCGGTGATCTGAGAAGAGGACCGGCAGCCTGGAGCTCCTGAATTCTGATTGATGTGCTAATTCTGACCCAGCCCAGGCTCACGCTTCGGCTGCTCACCATGTAAGACTGAGGAGAGTGACATTTCCCCAGAGATGCTGCGAGGCTGATGGAACGGCTGGGAAAATGCATTAAGCGTTAATTAATAATCACAGATAATAGTAGAAAGCACAGAACTGATAATGGTGATCATAATGATGAGTTCATAAAGCCGAACTGTGCAGTCATTCCTCAGGCAAACCTCCCCTGCGAGTAAGGACTCACCTGAGTAAAGGACCATAGCTTTTACGTCAGCAGTAAAACAGTTGAACAGAAAGGGTGCTGATTTTCCAAGTGTGTCTGCGATGTTCCAGGAGACTGAGCTTTTCAGAGTCAGTAAAATCATTGCAGGCTCTGCATGACAATATCAACGTTAATTACTGGGCAGTGCTTGTCTGGAAGGATTTGGCCTGCATTATGCTAGTGGAAACTGGAGAAAAATGGAAAAAAAGTATCCATATTCCCAGTTTGATAACACACAGTTAATTCCATAAATTGTGAGGCTGTCCATCATACAGTTCTGGAATCAGATATAGCTATAACTAAATTCACTCAGGAATATTAGCACTGGTTTTGAGGGCAGGAGGTGGCAGTTTAGCCTGTGTCCTAAAAGGATGTGGAACCATCATCACTAGAGTTAGGTGGCATCAAAATATGTGCCTGTTACCTGCCAGTGCATACAAACCTGAGGAGAATACAGCATCGCAATGCCTGTCAGAGCTGACTTCTACATAAAATAGGCAGTTCAGTTGGAGGGAAAGAAAAGATTATTCTGGGAAAGTTTTCATCTTCTAATAGCGTTTTTATATCCCATTCCTTTGAATTACAATGCCAGACATTGTTAAGGAATGGGCAATCAAGGTGTCTCAATAATAAATTAACCTTTTTGTAAATGACATTGGCGGCACTTTCTGAAATTTCTAATCGGAACACTTCTCTGAAAAGCACCTTGTGGATTCACCTCCACCTGATAGTGGTGATTTGTTCAGAGCAATCTTGTGTAAGTGGAGTGAAATAGTAGGCTGAGGAATCAGCTGGAATCAGCACATCTGAGACAGAGATGTTGGCCAAAAATCTCCTCAGTAGAAGCAAGAAACGTCAGAGAGCCTGAGAACAGCACCTACGGAGTCAGAGAGAAAGTGTCTTCCAGCAACTGTTACAGCTGAGCTCAGGCAAGCCTGGCTGTGCAGGGCCACTGAGAAATCAAAAGGAAAAGCAAAATCAGCTGTCTGTGAGAGGAGAGCATCGTTGTTTACCAGCACGTCACCCAGCAAGCAACAGGAAACACAGCACACCCATGACAGGATGCAAGGGTTTAGCTCGCTTTTATCTGCTGCAAGAGACAACGCTTAAATTTTAAAACAGGACTGTTGTTCCTTCTGCCCCCTCTACTATCCATAAAGAAATCTACTGTAAGTACTTTCCTCCATCAAAGTGCAAAGCGAGCTGGCGGTGTTATTTATAAGGGACTGCCAGCACAGACAGCTTTTTGCAATATACATCAAAAGGCAAACTCCCTTCCTGCAGTAGCCTAAAATATAACCCACCCCCATGGGTTCACAAGAAGGATACCAACATAGGAGCACATCATAGAATCATGGAATGCTTTGGGTTGGAAGGGACCTTTAAAGGCCATCTAGTCCAGCCCGCCCTGCAGTGAGCAGGGACATCTTCAACCGGATCAGGTTGCTCAGAGCCCTGTCCAACCTGGCCTGGAATGTTCCCAGGGATGGGCCATCGACCACCTCTCTGGGCAACCTAGTCCAGGGTTTCACCACCCTCATTGTGAAAGATTTCTTCCTCATATCCAGTCTAAATCTCCCCTCTTTTAGTTTAAAGCCATCACCCCTTGTCCTCTCACAACAGGCATTGCTAAAAAGCCTGTCCCCACCTTTCTTATAAGCCCTGTTTCAGGTACTGGAAGGCCACAATAAGGTCTCCCTGTAGCCTTCTCTTCTCCAGGCTCAACAGCCCCAGTTCTCTCAGCCTTTCCTCACAGGAGAGGTGCTCCAGCACCTTGGATCATTGCTGGGGCCTCCTCTGGGCTTCACAGTAGGACTGAGCTTAGAGATCACAGAATCACAGAATCACAGAATCACAGAATGTTTGGGGTTGGAAGGGACCTTTGTGGGTCATCTAGTCCAACCCCCCTGCCGAAGCAGGGTCACCTACAGCAGGCTGCACAGGACCTTGTCCAGGCGGGTCTTGAATATCTCCAGAGAAGGAGAATCCACAACCTCCTGTTCCAGGGCTCCGTCACCCTCAGAGTGAAGAAGTTCTTCCTCCTGTTCAGCTGGAACTTCCTCTGCTTCAGTTTGTGCCCATTGCCCCTTGTGCTGTCACTGGGCACCACTGAAAAGGGTCCTTCTGACACTCACACTTAAGATATTTATAAGCATTTATTAGGTCCCCTCGCAGCCTTCTCTTCTTCAGGCTGAACAAGCCCAGGTCCCTCACCCTGCCCTTGTAGGAGAGATGCTCCAGTCCC